GTGAAAAATGTTTAGAAACACTGACATAAATAACTAATCATCACATTGATTTATCAGTCTACTCAGGCTTTAGCAGAGCTCAGCAACACTGAGATTAATACCTGACTCGTCACATTGATTAATCAGTCTACTCAGGCTTTAGCAGAACTCAGTAACACTGAGATTAATAACTAATCATCACATTGATTTATCAGTTTACTCAGACTTTAGTTCAACTTTAGTGTTTGTTGTTTGTAAAGAAGCTGTTTGTTGAGTTTCTCTTTAGAGATAATCTAACGAGCATGTTTGCCTCACAATTTTAAAATAGTTCATAAATGAGTTTTGATGGTGATTCTTTGAAAGACTGCATGTTTTTCTTTTATTTAGATAGTATTGTAAAAAGGATCCTCTTAAAATGTAAAAAGTTACTGTATTCTGAGTACTGCCCTTTCAAAACATGGTTTGGACTAAATACAAATACTTCATTCCTGTTTTCTGAATACATAGAGTAAACGATTTTTTGAAGTCATTAAATGTATATTCGAGATTGCCACACATCAATGTTGATGGTATTCGGATGTGTTAGCTGTACAGCTCGGTGTGTGGATTAGTCAACAACAAACAAGCAGCTGCTTCTTTATACAACACTTTTTCAGTTGTCTGAGGAAACAGAGCCTTTGTTGGGATTTTTTCACATGGATCTAACACCTGTCACTCCATCAAATGTTTTCTAAAGGTTTCAGAAAAAGGTGACATATTAATAGTTTAGAAGGTGAATAAAAGTTTTTAAAAAACTGTATCTTGTTTACCAGCTCCTAACTGTTCTGCTCTGTTGCTGATGTCCTGATAGAAAAAAGCTTGCCTTATGCTATCACCAATAAAAGCACCTTTAGAAACATTAGAGATTTGGTTTGTTCTTTGATTCTTCAGCTCAGCGGCTCTTTGTTATTTCTGTAGGTGGCTTCTACCTAAGAGTTTGATAGTACATCTGAAATACTTAAATAAAGGCTTGCAAACTGCATCTCCTAAATAAAGTTATAACGTCTTCTTCTTATTATTCATTTTTTCCACATTACCTTCTCATTGTTTCATTTTTTTGTAATTAAGCTCTAAGTTACAGTTAACAGCACAAGACGTTAATGACAAACAGAGCAGCAGAAATCAAGCACAGAAACAATTAGGCTACCATAAATACAATAGTTTAATCTGTTGGTATTATTGATCATATGTGTCATGCAAGGAATGAAAACAAAAAGAAATAGGGAAAAAAGAAACATTATTATTGTTATTATAAGAATGTCAGTGGTGAAGTCTTAATATTAGAGCTGGGCCTTCAGTTCGGGCTATAAGTATCAAAACTCTGTCAGAAACAAGGGGAAAACACTTCTATGATAATGCTAATTTCTGATACCATCCCTTTAGGATTCTAGTACTATGTTAGTGCTAAGCTACTGGTGATTCTCATTAACAATTTTGGCAATTCTACATTAAACACAGACATGTGAAGCTTTCCATGTTTTATTTACATTTATGCATTTGGCATACATTTTAGAGCAGGGTTGCACAGAAACAGAGCACACTATACCAATAAGAGTCCTTGGGCAAGACTCCTAATTTTACGTTAATTTCACCCACCTGTGTAACATGACTGTAACAAGTTGCTCTAGAGCAGGGGTGCACAACCCCAGTCCTGGAGGACTGGAGTCCAGCTCTGAGGTTTCCCAGCAACACAAGCCCAGGGTAATTGACAGACAGGTGCATTCAGGTGGGTGTGAGTAGGTTAATTACCAAACTGGGCTGGACAGAGCTTTGGTGTTGAGCTGCCACCCCTGTTTTCCTTTTCTAACATCTGACTGAATTGTATTGGTACTTGCAGTCAGTGATGTTTCTAGGACTTCCAAAGGATTTAGAGCAGTGATCACCAACCCTGGTCCTGGACATCTACCTTCCATTAGAGCCTAGTTCTAAGTACAGTCTGCCTCACCTGCTCCAGATAATTAACATCTTCAGAACTCCTTCATCAGCTGGATAAGTGGTGAGCAAGGGCAAGTTAGATGCAGGGTGGAACTAAACTCTGCAGGAAAGTAGATCTTCAGGAGCAGTCCCATTCACTGTACATCAAAATGTAATTGCCTGGTTCTTCTGTCAGTTCCTAATTATGATAGTGCTTAATAAGACACGATAGGCCTTCATTTTGTCTGAGGTCCTAACCAATGGGAGATCTATATTGGTTGTACCTAGATATCACAGAGAACAAAAATTCTGATTGGATCATTTTCTGTTGGGCATTTAACCCTTTTGTTTCCAACTAAAACTGAAACCCTCAGGGTCTCTGGAGATTGGTAATTATTTGATTGAATTATGGAGGTTTTAAAATTTAAAATTAAAAATTAAACTGTTCTGGAGTCTGGCTGAAGTGCTGTTATAAAGTTTGCCTAATTTTCCCAAGCCCTGGTGTCGAGCTGCCATTGCTGTTTTTCATTTCTAACATCTGACCGAATTCTATTTGTACCAAAGATACCTTTTGTAGTCATTATATTCACCTATCTATCTGACACTTTCACAGCATGGGAATGATAAACTCTTACTTTCTCACTGTGTGTGCTCGGAAGCATTTATGGAAGTAATTAAAGCAAAGACCTTAACTTTGCTAAAAGTCTGTTGGCCTATTCAGAAACGTTATTGTTTTTGTTTATGTGGTTATTTCTTCAATGTGTCTGTCTCTCTCCTTTTTGTGTGACAATTTAATCATCTTCCAATGACATCTGCATCCCATGAACTAGCTCCTAACTCAGGGGTTCCCAAGCGTAGCCCCGGGGACCCCATGCTCTGCTTATCTGACCCAGCAAATGAGGAGCTTGATGATTAGTTAATGAGTTGAATTAGCTGGGCTTAGAGAAAGCACAGAAATGTACATTGTGTGGAGGCCCCTGCACTGGGATTGGAAACTCATGACCTAACCATTCTGCTGCATTGCTGATGTTCTGATGAAAAGTTTGCTTTGGTAGCTGTCTCGCTAATTCTAACTGAACTTAAAAACAGCATATGACTTTTACATTTCATGAGAAATAGACCAATAAAATGGTCCAAACTTACTTGTAAAAGTATTTTTATATGTCACTTTTTCCCTTCTGCCATGACGTTCCCGCAGTGCCAGTTCGAGATTTGGTTTGCGAAACGTTTTTGTTTTTCTCTGTTGTTGTTTCAGCTCAGTGTCCCGGTCTCGTTTCTGTGGGCGTCTCGCACCTGAGAGTTTTGATCCTCTTAAGAGTCTGCGGTGTGTTTGGCATTGCTCTACCTTTCCGAGTTCATCTATTGTGCACCTTTGCCATCTCACCTGCTTCCCACTCAAGGGGAAACACTAGCTGTGGGCATCGCTCTCTCTCTCTCTCTCTTGGCAGGTGAGTGCAGGTTTATTTCCTAGCTGAACTCTAGACCTGCTTGGCAGACTGTAGCCTCAGACACTGATACTGCGTTCCACAGCAGTGCTGCTGGCAGAGCCCAGCAGAGCTGGACAAATCTACCTCTCACCTGGCTCCTGTTGGAACAGCTGACCTTTTGAACCTGCTCACCCACAGCCAGCCATGCAGGTGTGCCACTCTAACAGGTGTGCTCTCCTCCAACAGGTGCATTGGCAGCCGTCCATTCCTCTTCCTTGACATAGACAGAGAAAGGAAGTGTTTAAAGTCTGAATACAATGGTTTGACCAAAAAATCATATTTAGACAATTTTCCAATTAGCAAGTTTGCCCTGCTGAAAATTCCAGCTGAGATCAGTTGGGCTTGTAGCTCAAAAACATACCCTAAGCTGGTCACCTTTATATGATCAACTTAGCCAGTACAACTACTACAACTTAACCCCTGTTAGCCCAGCTCATTTAGCTAGCGTAGGTTCTCCAAATTTGAAGGTCAAATATAGCAAATATTTTACTCTTTATTTTTGCCAGATATCCTTCTCCATGTCTTAGTGTTTGGAATCGAGATGATTGTGTGGAATCAACTCCTGGAATAATCCCCAATGATTCCTGTCATTTACAACTGGAATCAAAGTCGACTCCAGAATTCCTGGAATGAAACAACCCTGTTCAGAAGGTTGTATGACTCTACGTTGTCAATATGGACAATTTTGTCCATATTCTGTTGTTTGTCGTAATAAAAAGGTCAGTGGTGCCATATGGTAACACCATGCAGTGAAAGCTTAACAGATATATAATTACAAAAGATCATACGTGCTCAAACTGATCTTCAAACGCAAATAAGTATATAATGCACAATAAGAAGAATGTGGAAAAGGAATTTCAGATCAGTTTATAACAGTAATTAAGTATTTAGAGGTAATGCAACAATTCTTTATATAACATGTATTAATTTAGTTAAACGTAACAATAAGGATCATTAGTTTATGTAAAAAACAGACAAAAGGGAATCAGAAAATCTTTCTTTAATATATACTTTTAAACAATAATTTTTTCAATTTTAGCTTTTTATATACGTTAAATGTAAGAGTTGATTAGTAATAAGTATTTTTTTTTATTTAAAGAATATACGAAATATACAACCAACGTCAGACTAATACATTATCAGACACCATATAAAAATATGTGAACAGTACTCTCAGCAATATCATCATACCATCCAAGCACATCATGACGTCAGAGAGTAAGGATGCAACCCAACAACCTGCATATAAAAAACCTATATGTCTAAAGGAAATGCATACATACACATATACATACTCTCTCTCTCTCTCTCTCTCTCTCTCTCTCTCTCTCTCTCTCTCTCACACACACACACACACACACAAGAGGAAAGCCAGTTAATCAAGTGTCTCTCCGTAAAGCTGGTTATAGAAATTAAAAAATCTATTACTTTTCTTAGTTTCTACAAGATGTAAGGACCGGAGTAGTGATTTAAATTCCGCTAAAAAGAGGGACAGGGTTGGCAGTAATAATAGTATTCGGTTTGTGCACGTATTGGCCATGAGCTCAGCACGCTGACGCTCATCGTTACGTCATCGGAGCGTAAGGCCGTTCTCGGAAGTCAGCTCTGAACCTGCAGCGATGGAAGCTCCACTCGCAGAAAGCGAGATTCTTACTCTGAGAAACCGCTTTAAAAGAGATGCTGAACTGCTTTTACAAGCCGTCTCGGAGGAGGACGAGAAGAGTAAGTGATTTAGAAAGATTTCGCTGGTTAGTTTACGCCCCTAGAGTGAATGCAGAGGTGCAAACGTGTAGAAAATAGAAGGTCTCTCTGGTTTAACTCCAACCAAATATCCGGGAAGTCTGCGAAAAAGTGCAGCGCAGCTTCATCTGAGTCTAAATTCCCATTCTCCTGTCCGTGTTTACATCGAAAAGGCCAGTTTTTAATAAAAAGTCAAGAAGACTTACAGCACAAACCAGAGCAGACCTGCTCTGAAGCTATTTATAAAGTTAATCTTCACAGCAAAATCCCTTGTGTTACATTAACACCTGCAGTGTTGCATTAACACCTGTTTTAGACAGTTAAGCTCAGTTGGACCCAAATGAAACTGTATTTCGCTTGCAACAACATGAGGACTATACTGTGTGCAGGCTGGTTCAGCTGGCTGGCAGCAGCTGTGCTGGGCTGTGGTGCCATGCCCGGATGGGGACGGGTGCGCTGGTCAGTGGGCGACAGTAAAGGTCATTTGGCCTAGTGCCACTGCTGGCTAGAAGCTTGATCTTGTCAGCCTACAGTGTCTGATCTGTTCTAATGGATGCTGGCAGTGGAAAGGAGATTCACTCTTTCATGTTCATTGCCCCAAAGTGCACTTGCGAATTGCTGATGGTATATTCTGAATGCTCTTCCTGTATACTAACCCTTGAAGCCTAAACTTATTATTCAGTAACTAATACACCTTTTTCAGTAATTACTGTGAAACTAATGTGTAGGTTGTGTAGATAGTGAAGTGCTACATGTGGAGTTGAAGGGGTTAAGGTGATAGGTTCTTTTAAAGCAGAGTTGTCCAGTTCAGTTCCTGGAAGGGCTTAGGTCCAGTGCCAGTGCCAAACTAAAGGACCACACAATGGACACCATACATGTCTTTTTGGGTCAATGGGAAATTATATTACTTTTTGCTGGATATTCATTTTGAGTCAAAAGGCTCATTAGCTACTATAAAGGCGATACAAGTGTTTGTCTATTTTATGAAAATCCTCACACGATGATGCCTTTGGACATACACCGATCAAGCAGTACATTATGAGCACCTCCTTGTTTCTACGCTCATTGTCCATTTTATCAGCTCCGCTTACTATGTAGGTGCACTTTGTAGTTCCACAGTTACAGACTGTAGTCCATCTGTTTCTCTGCATACTTTTTTAGCCCCCTTTTACCCTGTTCTTCAGTGGTCAGGACCCCCCATGGACCCTCACAGAGCAGGTACTATCTGGGTGGTGGATCATTCTCAGCACTGCAGTAACTCTGACGTGATGGTGGTGTGTTAGTGTGTGTTGTGCTCCAGCAGTGCTGCTGGAGTTTTTAAACACTGTGTCCACTCACTGTCCACTCTATTAGACACTCCTACCTTGTCAGTCCAGCTTGTAAATGTAAAGTCAGAGACGATAGCTGATCTGCTGCTGCACAGTTTGTGTTGGTCATCCTCTAGTCCTTCATCAGTGGTCACAGAACGCTGCCCACAGGATGCTGTTGGCTGGATATTTTTGGTTGGTGGACTATTCTCAGCCCAGCAGTGACACAGAAGTGTTTAAAAACTCCAGCAGCACTGCTGTGTCTGATCTGCTAAGACCAGTGCAACACACACTAACACACTACCACCACGTCAGTGTTACTGCAGTGCTGAGAATGATCCACCTCCCAAATAGTACCTGCTCTGTGAGGGTCCATGGGGGTCCTGACCACTGAAGAACAGGGTAAAAGGGGGCTAACAAAGTATGCAGAGATATGCAGTGGAGCTGATAAAATGGACAATGAGTGTAGAAACAAGGAGGTGGTCATAATGTTATGCCTGATGGGTATATATTCATGACTGTTTGCAGTCCAGCTGAATTAGCATGTTTCCTTAAAGCATCACAGGGCTCCACCGAAGCTCCTCTGGAAGCTTGACCTTTGCTCAGCACTTTTGTCTTAAAGTTTTGTCTTCCACATTCAGGCCATTTCACGCCATGATACGACTGTATGACAGTGTAATGTTATCTGACGTTTCTCTGTTTCAATGGCAGGTAAGGAAGCAGAGTCTAAACCTCTGCCCCGCATTAACCGACACTCAGTCTTCTGGATCCTGGCCTCCGTGGGTTTGACCTACTACGTAGATTTCTTCAACGTCGTTCTAGAAAACAGCGATATTAAAAGGTAATTAATGCAGATCTGTTAATTAAAGAACTTTTTGAGACTTGATACTAAGTGGCTACTTTCAATTATATGGTAACTACTGTCAAGCTGATATGTAAATTATGTACAGTCAGAGTGAGGAGTTGTTGTTAATAATATGTTAACATGTAAAATTAATAGCACCACAATTTTTTTTATGCCATTAACACGTTTTCCTAGTTTGACCCTTGCTGCCCGTGTGCTACATGTTGCTTTGCTAGAATCTGTGATTGTAGTTCTGTTGCTAAAATTAAATGGCTTTTAAGCTATACTTTTATACATGATATGTGGATCATTCTACTGAATTAGTTCAAACTGCAGTCCCACAGTTTAAAAAAAACAAAACGAAAAAAAAAAAAATAAAAACAATTACAAATTCGGACCTTAGATATTTACAAGTATTACAGTGTGATCTGTTTAAGCAAAGGGCATTAATTGAAGAGAAAGGTAAAATTGAATGTTTTCAATCATTTGCTTTAATAAAATAAACATAATTAAAGTATGGGGTCATTCAAAGCAAAAGTCAGTTAAAGTCATTCAAAGATGGCTTCAGTTAAAAGCCAGAAATGTTTTCTACTCAGACTTGGTCCATATATGTTTTGCTATATGGACAAACATATTGGGACACCTACACATTACACTTACAGAAGCTTTCTACAAGATTTTGAAGTGTGTCTGTGGGAATTTTTGCCCATTCATCCAGAAGAGCATTTGTGAGGTCAGTCAGTGATGTTGGACGAGAGGCCCTGGCTCACAATCTCCATTCTAGTTCATCCCAAAGGTGTTCAGTATGGTTAAGGTCAGGACTCTATGCAGGCCAGTCAAGTTCTTAAACATCAAACTCCACCAGCTGAGCCTTTATGGGCCTTGTTTTGTGTACTGGGGCACAGTCATGCTGGAACAGAAAAGGGTCTTCCCCAAACTGTTCCCACAAACTTTGAAGCATTCAGTTGTGCAAAATGTCTTGATCTGCTGAAGCATTAAGATTCCCTTCACTGGAACTAAGGGGCCTAGCCCAGTCCCTGAAAAAGAACCCCATCGCATTATCCCCCCTCCACCAAACTTTACACTTGGCACAATGCAGTCATGCAGGTAACGTTCTCCTGGCATTCACAAAACCCAGACTCATCCATCAGACTGCCAGATAGAGACGCACGATTCATCACTCCTCAGCACACGTTTCCACTGCTCCAGACTCTGGTGGTGGCATGCTTTACACCACTCCATCTGACACATAGCATTGTGTTTTTTTTATCTTAGGCGTGTGTGTAGCTTCTTGGCCATGGACACCCATTCCATGAAGCCCCTAATGCGCAGTTCTTTCGCTGATGTTGCTACCAGAGTCAGTTTGGAACTCTGTAGTGAGTGATTCAACAGATGATAGGTGCTGTGTGCTTCCGTACTCTGCGGCCCCACTCCGTGAGTTTGTGTGGTCTGCCACTTGGTGCCTGAGCTGTTGTTACTCCTAGATGCTTCCATTTCACAATAATAGCACTTACAGTTGACCGGGGCAGATCTAGCAGGACAGAAATTTCACAAACCGGCTTGTGGCAGAGGTGGCGTCCTATAACAGTGCCATGTTTAAAGTTACTGAGCTCATCAGTGCGACCCATTCTACTGCCAGTGTTTGTCTATCGAGACTGCAAGGCTATGTGCTTAAGTTTATCTACCTGTTAGCAATGGGTGTAGCAGAAACCCCTGAAATCAATAATTAGGAGGGGTGTCCCAATACTTTTGTCCATATAGTGCATATACAGTTATTGCTTGAAACATGCAGCCAATCTTGTCCTCGATTGAAATGAGAAACCAATGAAAATCACAGTGAAGTTAATGTTATTGGAAAAATGTAATACATTCTGATGGAGCTTACTTGGTTCATTCAAATTATTGATTAACAGTGATTAACTACAACAAAAAAAATAGGATTGTACTATTTTTATACTCGAGTAAAGTAGTGCTGGGCGATATGACCTGAAATCAATATCACGATTAATTGAATATTTTACCTCGATGAAGATTAATTAATGATTATTTTTTTGTTTGTTTTTTTCCCCCCTCATAGTTCATTGACAAGGTTTGTACTGTAAATATGCTCTGCATATCTTAATGTAAATCATCTCAACAGCCACATCGGAATTCACGCAGCTTTTATGTCAATCCAACTCGACATCCGTTGACCACCTAATAAACATTTCTGTACAAAAATTAGAAGAGACTTATCCAAAACGCCTCCGTGTTTGAAGAGATTTCGAAAGAAATGGCCGAACACGGCTGGAGGAGAGCGAGGCTGCTGTGTCGAAGAACAATTAGAAGTCTGAAAGCAAAGTTTAAAGAATCAGAGGACGTGAACCAAAGAAGTGACCAAACCCTTTTTACAGTGAGCTCGAACACATTCTGGGTGATAAGCCCAGCTGTCAGTCAGTGAAGCTTCATGATGACTCCTGTGACCCTGGCGAAGATGAAACTGAAACCTCCAGGAGCGACTGGTGTTTGTTCATAGCCATGATTGTTTACCTCTAGATGAGCCATGTGAAGCAACGTGACACATTGTTCTTTTGTGCATGCGGGTCGGTTTAGGAGCTGATCTGTTCGAACTGATGTCGCATACAGATCACATTTAAAAGATATTGTGAACAGCCACACGAAAAAATCGGATTTGGTGAGAAAATCAGATATGGGCCACTTTTACCTGCTGTGTGAACATAGCCTTAGCTTCCATGTCGCAGACTGGACGTGGTGGAGTCATGTGACTACACACGTGGTAGTAAGTTTTTAAGGGGACAGTTCATGAACACACAGAGTGGGGAAAGGATGAACAGAATAAAAAAAATCTAAATAACCGGCAAGGGCAAGATTACGTCAGTTAGAGGTTCTGAAGGTCGGTTTCAATTACTTTTCGATTAATTGCCCAACCCTAGTACGAAGTATCACGCTTCAGGAAAGCTGCCTCTACTGTTTTAAACTGTGTGTGAGTTTGAGTTACATTTACATTTATGGCATTTGGCAGACGCTCTTATCCAGAGCGACTTACAGTGTGATCATTTTTACACAGGTAGGTGAAGGCAGTGTTAGGAGTCTTGCCCAAGGACTCTATAGCTATAGTGTAGGGTGTTTGCCCAGGTGGGGATTGAACCCCAGTCTACAGTGTAGAAGGCAGAGGTGTTACCCACTACACCACACCAACCACAGTTATGTTGAGATAACGTAAGATGCCACGTGATTTGATGTAAATTTATGATGATTTAGGCACGCAGTTTGCAAGTGTACGCATACATTACTTGTTAGCGACATTAGCCTTGTAGGTCTGGTACAAAACTAAAGAAGCAAAGCAAACATGTCCTGACTTATTGACTATCTTTGGAGTGAGGGAAAGCTTGGATGAAATGGATTTTTGGGTGAACGAGATTCAACATGATCTTCAGGCAGTGAAACTAGTATTAGCATATGAGCTGTAGTTGGTTGGTTAAGGTGAAGTGTAGCTGTTTACCTGGTGTAGTCAGGTTAATCTGCTGGATTAGCAAACCTGTATCAAACAGTGTTCCTTTATAGTGAGAACACAGTGTGTCTGCCAATGCACTGTAATATAATTCTCTTCCTGTTTACACTAGAATAAGAGCACATGCTAAAAAACACCAGAAACACTTCCACTGGCCTGAGGTAAATGTAGCTCAGTGCTGCTTGCATTTCACATTCACTGATGTACTGTTGTGGTGGAACTAGACTGATTACACGTACTGAGACTAGTGCCAGTCCCAGTCCTTAGTTAATGTTTCAGATAGCACAAACTAAGGGATATATGAATACACAGATAACAGTGGTCTACTGCTGTGGTCAACAGATCCAGTTCATGTAGAACTGCTGGTTTGATTCCGTTTTGTTTTCCATCTGGCATTGTCAATGCAGGTTGTGATGATACTATGTCTGCAAGATCAGTCTCTTCACTACTACATAGAGAGGAATGTTATAGCAGGGCTTCAGTGCTTAAAGCCCTCATTACAAAGACAAATGCACAGATGAGAGTTCAGTGGTGCAAAAACCATAGGCACTGATATAGACATCCTTCTCGACAAATGGGAGAGTGCTTGTGTGGAGTACACAAAGAGAGCAGTACAGGCCTGAATAGTTGACCCCTACAGGAAGGGGGTGTGGTGGTGGTTTGTTATGATGGGGACATTTTACTGGCATGGTTTGGGGTCCACTTGTTCTCTTAGAGAGAAGGGTCACTACAGGTCAATACAGAGTAATTCTGACTGATCATCTTTGTCCTGTGATGTAACTTTTGTGTCCTGACTGATGCGTTATATTGTGCGCTCCACTACCATCAGTTTAGGCAATAGCTCAATGAAAAATCAAAAACACTACATGTCAATAGTCACCCGAATCTTTTCCGCCAATACATCCCCAAAACTTCTCTTAATCCACTCAAACCGCATCCAGGTTATGCAGTTCATTAAGGGTGTGCAGACTTGTTGATGTGGTTTAGGATCAGTGTTGGGGTAGTTACGCAAAACAGAACAGTTCATTGCAAGTTACTGTTTACTTCTGTCAAACTTCATTATGTTTTATAATATATTATTTTATAATATATTAATTTTATATTACTTTATGGAAAAGTAATTTCTTTACGCCTTAGCCTACTTCTGAGTTGCTCTATAAAACTCGCTTGTACCAACTGTACAAGGGAAGACCCAAAAGTCCTTTTCAGTAATTAATTTAGAAATATATAGTCAATTACAGGAAACATAATTAAAAAAAAAAACACCTGTATATGTGTCTTTCTTTTTCAGCATGCGTACGGTTTACAGTGCTTGATGTTGGTAGCACGCATGTACACATATTATGTACAAGGACAGGCATTCATAATATACACAATATGGCCAAAAGTATGTGGACACCTGACCAACACACCTGTTTGAGCTTATTGGACATCCCATTCCAAAATCATGGGCATTAATATGGAGATCCTTTGTGCACAGGCGCAC